CTTCGTTTTTCGTCAAATGAGAGGTATATTTCTAAAAAAAGATTTTTTATACAAATTTGTGGACGGTTGAAACCGAGATATTGACGTTTAAATTTTTTTTCGACCATAAGGGCTAATGCAAATGATTTTTTTTAAATAATTATAAAAAAATACTTCCTACAAAGACCTTATTGTGCATTACAACAAAAAATAAGCATTGTTTTTTCTATATGATGGTATCAATAACTCGATTTTTTATGATAGTGCCCTTTTGCACTGTCTAATTTTGTATTACCTCCGGAATAAGGGTAAGCTTATCATGTACTTTCATTCCTGAAAAATTCAGCTTGTGACACCGAAGTGGGAGGCAAAGTCAAAAAAATTTCAATCTATACCATACAAAAGCCCGTACCTGCGAGTTTAAAAGAATACATTTTTATTCGCAAATGCGAAAATGCAGAACGTATATTTGTTACTTAGTTGCTAACTAGAGGCAGCACCTCTCGGATAACTTTATTTTGTCTCTCTCTGGGAGGACTTGTTCAGACTTCTCTGTTCCAATGCACGCCCTTAAGCCGATGCGAGTTTAAAATTATATCAGATCATAGTTGACCATTCAATATTGAAACAGAAAAACAACTGATTCCATCAACTGACATACTTTTTAAACTACAACATCACAGTTGATCATTACGATGAATAATATACTTAACCCTTTAATCATTCCCGTGCATACTTTGCTATCACTGATCACTTTACCCGGTCTATATGAAGCGGCATAACCTGTTAGTAGGCAAACGCTATCGTCCTAGCGGACCGCCGCGTTACTGCGCCACCGAATTACTCGGCACAAAGACGTTCCGTCGATAACAGATTTGACTCGCTGCACGTGGAATATTATTGCTACACAAACAGAGCTCGCAGTATGTTAGCACCAAGTTAGCGGGGTTGGAATTACTAATGGATATACACATGCATGTTTAATGGCGTATAGGGGGATCGGCCAGTTTAACGACCCTAATTAATAGGGCCTTATAGGGTCTCATATAGGACAAATTCGGAAGTGGATGTGGGATGTGAATCTCGGACCCCGCCACTTGGCATATTTTTTTGACCTTGATTCGGTTAAATTGTAACAGGTAGAATTTTTTGATTTAAAGCTGGTTTGTGGTGGAATCGATAAAAGAGAGATGAGAGAGAAAAAAGGGCGCCAAATACAGGGTATAATAAAAAAGTAGGTCATAAGTTATACCCCAACTTCACCCTTCATTCCTTGCAAACAAGAAAAGGATTTCTTAAAGGTCAAGCCATACGTGCATCTGAGCGATTGGAGCTTGTTTACACAAATGTATATGGACCTATGTCTGAGCCAAGTTGGGGAGGAGCCAAATATATCTTAATGTTCACAGATGACTTTTCACGTAAAACTTTTGGCTATTTTTTCAGAACCAACGATGAAACTTTTTCAATTTTTACTTTCCTATCTGTTTACAGATATAAGGAAAGTATAGGAATCATGATTTTTTTCGACCTCGAGTTTTCGACGGATTTTTACGTTTTGAGGTCCCCTGAATCCGTTTTGACTATTTTCGCGATGTGTGTGTGTGTGTGTGTGTGTGTGTGTGTGTGTGTGTGTGTGTGTGTGTGTGTGTGTGTGTGTGTGTGTGTGTGTGTGTGTGTGTGTGTGTGTGTGTGTGTGTGTGTGTGTGTGTGTGTGTGTGTGTGTGTGTGTGTGTGTGTGTGTGTGTGTGTGTGTGTGTGTGTGTGTGTGTGTGTGTGTGTGTGTGTGTGTGTGTGTGTGTGTGTGTGTGTGTGTGTGTGTGTGTGTGTGTGTGTGTGTGTGTGTGTGTGTGTGTGTGTGTGTGTGTGTGTGTGTGTGTGTGTGTGTGTGTGTGTGTGTGTGTGTGTGTGTGTGTGTGTGTGTGTGTGTGTGTGTGTGTGTGTGTGTGTGTGTGTGTGTGTGTGTGTGTGTGTGTGTGTGTGTGTGTGTGTGTGTGTGTGTGTGTGTGTGTGTGTGTGTGTGTGTGTGTGTGTGTGTGTGTGTGTGTGTTGTGTGTGTGTGTGTGTGTGTGTGTGTGTGTGTGTGTGTGTGTGTGTGTGTGTGTGTGTGTGTGTGTGTGTGTGTGTGTGTGTGTGTGTGTGTGTGTGTGTGTGTGTGTGTGTGTGTGTGTGTGTGTGTGTGTGTGTGTGTGTGTGTGTGTGTGTGTGTGTGTGTGTGTGTGTGTGTGTGTGTGTGTGTGTGTGTGTGTGTGTGTGTGTGTGTGTGTGTGTGTGTGTGTGTGTGTGTGTGTGTGTGTGTGTGTGTGTGTGTGTGTGTGTGTGTGTGTGTGTGTGTGTGTGTGTGTGTGTGTGTGTGTGTGTGTGTGTGTGTGTGTGTGTGTGTGTGTGTGTGTGTGTGTGTGTGTGTGTGTGTGTGTGTGTGTGTGTGTGTGTGTGTGTGTGTGTGTGTGTGTGTGTGTGTGTGTGTGTGTGTGTGTGTGTGTGTGTGTGTGTGTGTGTGTGTGTGTGTGTGTGTGTGTGTGTGTGTGTGTGTGTGTGTGTGTGTGTGTGTGTGTGTGTGTGTGTGTGTGTGTGTGTGTGTGTGTGTGTGTGTGTGTGTGTGTGTGTGTGTGTGTGTGTGTGTGTGTGTGTGTGTGTGTGTGTGTGTGTGTGTGTGTGTGTGTGTGTGTGTGTGTGTGTGTGTGTGTGTGTGTGTGTGTGTGTGTGTGTGTGTGTGTGTGTGTGTGTGTGTGTGTGTGTGTGTGTGTGTGTGTGTGTGTGTGTGTGTGTGTGTGTGTGTGTGTGTGTGTGTGTGTGTGTGTGTGTGTGTGTGTGTGTGTGTGTGTGTGTGTGTGTGTGTGTGTGTGTGTGTGTGTGTGTGTGTGTGTGTGTGTGTGTGTGTGTGTGTGTGTGTGTGTGTGTGTGTGTGTGTGTGTGTGTGTCTGTATAACGCATAACTCATGAACCGATACACGGAAAAACACCAAATTTCAAACTTAAGCTTTATTCCAGCGTCTTATGAGCTGATTAGATTTTGGGCAGAGTCGGAACATCTGGGGGGGGGTACTTTATGGGTGGTCATTTTTATATTTTATGGAATATATCTGTTATTTACGTTTGGGGAAGAAAATTCTTCAAATGAAAGTTACTTCTTATTTTATTATCTATAATTTTTGTTATATACAAAATTTTCATAAAATGGTCCGTATTCGCGAAATTTGACAAAATGTAAAAAAATATTTTTTTTTGTAAAAATTGTTCAAACAAAAGTTGTTTGTAATATAATTCTCTATAATTTTTAACCTATAGATAATTTCTCTAAAATGGACCGTATTCGAGATATTTGAGAAAATGTGTAAATTTCGAAATTTGAAGAAAACTCAAAAACGGATAAAGAAAAAAACATTAAATTTTAAACTTAAGTTTTATTTCGGCCTGACGTGAAATGATTAGATTTTGGACAAAGTCGGAACATCTGGGGGGGTACTTTATGGGAGGCCGTTTTTATATTTTATGGAATATATCTGTTATGTTTGGAGAAAAAAATTGTTCAAATAAAAGTTACTTCTAATATTATTATCTATAATTTTTGCTTTATGTAAAAATTTCCTGAAATGGTCCGTATTCGAAAAATTTGACAAAATGTGCAAAATTCTGATTTTTATGAAAATTGTTGAAAAATAAAAGTTGTTTGCGATATCGATCTCTATAATATTTGTTTATACATGATTTTTTTAAAATGGACCGTAATGGAAAAATTGTAGGAAAAGGGCTAAATTTAAATTTTTCAGTATTTTCATTTTCAATGAATATCTATAGAAAAATGTTTCGCGGTAGATGTATGTGGACAATGTATATATTTAGTTTATCCTCTAAACATTTATAGAGATGCTGCAATAGGTTGTACAAAATAACCGGAAAAAGCCTGTAATAACTAGATAGGAAAGTCATGTGTTGGACACATCAGATTTTTAAATATTTTAAAAGGACGGTTGAGAATCAGACTAGTCTTAAGATTAAAAGGTTATGGTCTAATAATGGCACAGAATTTTGCAATAACCGTTTTTCTGATTTTCTAAATAGTGAAGGGTGAAGCTGTGTCAACTGCTATTTACCTTAAAAACCGTAGTCCTTCTACTGCTATAAAAGGAGCAACACCTGAAGAGTTGTGGACAGGTGTTAAAGTCAACATAAGTAATTTAAAAATTTTTGGTTGTCTTGCATATCGTCGGCCTAATGTGAAAATTGTAAAGTCCAACTTTTCACAAAATTGGTTTTCAGCTCCATCTGTTAGAAAAGCAGCGTATCTATACATCCAAATAAAAAAACTATACAAAAAGTATTTAGATGGCGCTAGAAACAACAGTATGAAATGCGCGTAAGTCTAACTCCTTCTACATCAGTAAGAAAGTTGCATAAGTCCTACGTTGGTGTTCTGTCTATGTTTGGTGTCATGCTTTTTAGTTTGTCATGCTTTAAATTGGCCGTTATTTTATCAGACCGAGCTTCAATATCATTTAGGTAAGTACATACTATGTAAATTTAAGATTTTTAAATGTGTTATACATTAGACTGGATTAATGCCATTTTTGTAAACTTAAGGAGTTGTGCATTTTTCACACTGTTGATATATTTAGAACTCACGGGAATTATGCATGTTTCAAAGCATTTTGAATACCAATTACTGCAAAGAATGATGAGAAATTCACATTTTTTTGCCTTACCTACAAGTTTTGAACAGTTCGTGTAGATGGAAATTCTTGTCAAATCTTGAGGTATTAGTAAACCCTCCTTTTGGTATAAAAAAGAAACAAATTTGGCTAGAAATATTGGTACCAGGTAAAAAATCCGCTGTTAAAAACGTTCCAGTGAAAAAGCTCCCGTTAAAAGCCCCCAGTGAAAAAATTCATTCCAAAAAAGCTCCTTGATAATAAAAACATTTTTTTGCAAGTCAAACATCCGAACAATACCGGGGTCGTTTTTACCAGAGGCTTTACACTTTGCGGCTAAATGTAGGAATAAACAAGTATTTTGTTTTAGCTATGGATCGTAGAAGTAGGGGTTTCAAACTGTTGAGTTTAACAAAACATCCGGCCAACGCTTTGAAGGACATAACTAACGATAGCTCTGGAACATTAACTAGTGATTCTGTAGAATTAAACAAGACAATAAAACTGTTCAGAGAAAAAAATCAAGACAATCATACTGATACAAAGAGCGCGGAAAATGAAAAGCGTTTTGCAGAAGAAAACGAGGAACTGTAGTCAGCTCTAACAGAATTACAAAAAGAAATTCATATGACACAAAACATTTTAGACATAGAAGAAAACAATGATTTATCATCCAGCTTTCTCAACAATGCAATAATATCCGGCACAGAGCCAATACAACAAACGATATTGCCGCGCAAACAAAAACTCTTTAGGATTTCAATAAAAACCAACGAGAAGGAAATATTAGAAATGAAGATAATGATGAAGAAGATGCAACAAATCATCCAGAAGAAGTAGATAATGAAAACAATGACCCTACATATCAAATCGACGATGATGGGGAACAACATTCTGATGAAGAAAATAATGATTCCAGTGAAGAAGTTACACAAAAAAGGAAAAAGAAAAGATTTTCTAATCCTGCAGAATGGAAATATAATACTAATAAAATAAATAGAGAGAAAGGGGTTGAGTATATGGGTAGAAAAAATAACAAATTCGACAGAAAGAAAACTAAGAGAGTAATGAAAACGAGATGCCTGTGTTCAAATAAACCATTGAAAACCGGTAAAGAAATAGCAATTCAGTGTTACAAGTTGACGGATGAAGAGCGAAAGTTAATTTTCGCGAAGTTTTGGTCCCTGTCGTGGCCTGAAAAGAAGATCTACATTTCTGCCAAAGTCTTGAAGAATAAAACGGAAAGGTCGAGGCATAGAAAGGATCCGGAAGTTAGCCAAAGGACAACTTCGTATAAGTATTTTCATAAAAAGAAAAGCGAAAAGCTGATGTTTTGCAATACGTTAGGACTTTCTATGAGGACCATATCAGCGTGGATAAAAGATGAAACGTCTAGCCCAGCCAAAAGTGAAGAACAGAATAGTGACAAAAATATTAAAAAAAAACTTTACGTTTTGATGAAGAAAAGATAAATTTGAAAAAATTCTTTGAAGAACTGCCTAAACTTGAATCACACTATCGTCGCAAATCGTCAACAAAATTATATATAGAGCCAACGTTCAAAACCAAATCGGAGCTTTATTTACTTTATAAAGATAATTGGTGTGTAGAACATAATGTAGCTCCCTTATCCATTGCCACATTCTCAAACATGTTTGAAGATCTGAATCTTGCATTGTTTTTCCCAAAGAAAGACGAATGCGATGTCTGCGTAGGCTACAAGATTAAAAACGTAGAGGAATCTGTCTACAGGGAACACATTATCAAGAAAGAAGAAGCACGGGAAGCAAAAGCAGAAGACAAAAATTCCAAAAATAGGGTATTTACGATGGACCTCCAGTCAGTACTGTTGTGCCCGAAATCGAACGTATCAGCTCTGTACTATCGCACGAAGCTTATTGTACACAATTTTACAGTCTTTGAATTGCATTCTAAAGATGGCTATTATTTCCTTTGGCACGAAGGTCAAGTGGAGCTCAGTGCAAACTGTTTTTCATCAGTAATTTGTAACTTCTTGTTAATTATTAATAATGTAATTCCCCAGCTTGAGCCAATGCAACAAATAATATTATATAGTGACGGTTGTAGCACTCAAAATCGTAATTGCACTTTAAGCAACGCCTTGTTGAATCTTGCTTTCGAAAAACATGTTTGTATCATCCACAAATATTTAGAAAAGGGTCACACCCAGTGACTCGATGCACTCTACCATAGAGAGGCAATTAAAAGGTAGAACCATTAATTTGCCAGCTGATTATGTCTCCCTATGTAAATTGGCTCGAAAAAATCCTAGACCGTATGAGGTGAGCTATTTGGATTATATTTTTTTCAAAGACTTTAGTAAACTTAATTTAATAAAATCAATTAGACCTGGATTTAAAGTTGGTGATCTAACTGTCAACAATCTTAGAGCTCTGAAGTATAATCCAGATGGTAAAATCGAGTTTAAGAAGAAACATTTCGAGGAGTTTCAAGATATGCCTATGAAATTAAATTATATATCAATTGACTCTCTTCCCTTATTGTACAAATAACAATTAAAAAAATTAAGAAAGAAAAGTTTGAACATCTTCTGTTTTTGAAAAAATCTCTTGCCAAAGATTATCACGATTTTTATGACAATCTAAGACATGAATAACTTATTAACCATGAGACTTAACCATTTGATTATTTTTTAATATTATAAGTTATGTACTATTATCTTCAAAGTTCTTTAATGTTGTTTTATTAGTAGTTATTTTCGATTTAATAAAAATAATTCCTTAGGTAGGTAAATACTGGCTTTGTTTTATTATGTGAAATTTGCATAAGTCCATCTTTGTTACTGTATATAAGAATGAATTTTGCATAACTCCTTTATTTTTCAACAGGTACCTATTATAAAAAAATCAATACTTGATACCAGTTCCCTAATGTTTTTTTAATCCAAATTCTACTTTCACCCAAATTACATTATTTTTAAAGAAATAAAATAGTTATTTTGCTCTCCTGTAAAATTTAGGTTTTGGGACTTGTGCAATTTTCACATTAAGCCGACGATATGCTCATATTCCAAAACAATTTAGGGGAAAATTTGATAAAATATCAAAGCCTATGATTATGGTGGGCTATTGCGAGAACACAAAAGGTTATAGGTTAGCTGACCCAGAAAATCCAGGTAAAGTTCAGAATGTTCGGGATGTAATTATTGTTAGTAATGTCATGTTCAGTAAATATGTTTCATATTTAAAAATTTTTCAAATGAAGATGATAACAATTTTTTATATTATCCTTCCATGGTTAACAATTTGATGGGAAATCAAACTGAATCCATCGCAAGTAACCAACCTCATGCATCTCCATCTATTAGTTCTGTTAGTTGTGTTGATACTTCTTAAGGTAAAGAAGCTTTACCCTCATCTTTTTCTGGGCGACTTCGTCGACCGCCTGTTTGGATGAAAGATTATTTAATTGAATCAGATACTTTTTGTCAACTTTCATCTTGTTGTGCAGTCACAGAGCCAACGACCGTACAAGAAGCAATCACTAGTTCTGATAAAGACAAATGGATTGAGGCAATGAAAGTCTCTTTTCTTAAAAATGAGGTATGGACATTGGTTGAAAGACCTAAGGATATAAATGTTGTATCCAACAAGTGAATTTTAAAGCTTACAAGATACACTAAAAATAATGTGCGTTATAAAGCAAGACTTGTTGCTAGAGAATTCACTCAGTCACAAGGCGTAGATTATTTTGAAACGTTCTCACCAGTTGCTGAAATTTCAACTTTGAGAATGATGATTGCTCTTTCAGTTCAACTTGATTTGTCTATTGAACACTTCAATGTAACAACTGCTTTTCTTCATGGTGAATTGGAGGAACAAGTATTCATGGAACAACTAGAATTATTTATAGAAAAAGGTCAAGAATCTAAAGTTTGTTTATAAGAAAAGGCTGTCTATGGTCTTAAGCAATCATCAAGAAACTGGAATAAAAAAGTTACCAAAGTTCTTGTAGACAATGGTTACCAAAAATCCAAATATAAGTCCTGTCTATTTTTAAAGAATCAAGGAAACTCAACTATTCTAATATTATATGTAAATTATGTTTATATTTTTCACAATAATATTGATAAAAAGAATGCACTTTTCAAAATCCTAAATAATAATTTTTTAATTAAAGATTTAGGTGAAGCCCAAGAAGTACTTGGAATTGAACTTATTAGGAATAAATTAAATAATATGATTTATTTATGTCAGAAAAATTACATAGTGGATATTCTGAATAAATTTGGTTTCTCTGATACAAATGGTATTTCCACTGCTATTGAACATAATTTAAAGGTTGCAGCCTCTGATGAAAATAAACATTTGGCTGTACCTTATCAGAATGAAATCGGATGCCTTATCTATTTAGCAGTGAACAGCAGGCCTAGCATTGCTTATTCCATAAATTACTTAAGTCAGTTAACCTGTGGATACACAATGTACCACTGGAATTTGGTGAAACGTGTGTTTTGTTATCTAAAATTCACAAGCAATTTGAGCATTGGCTACAAAAAATGTAATTTAAACACTATTGAAGGATTTGTAGATGCATCATGCAGCAATTCGAAAGACGATCTCACACTGGATATCTTTTTAAACTGGCAGGTGGACCCATATCATGGGACAGTCGAAAGAAACGAACTGTTGCGTTATCGTTGACCGAAGCAGAATACATGGCAGCTTCTTTTGGTCTCTGGAAGAATGTTCTTGGCCAGGATCATGATGTTGAGAAAGATCAGAGAAAGACTTGCAAAAATCAGTCTTTTGCAAAGCCCTTTTTTTAATTTTTACTCCAACTTATTTGGTTATATATCTCTTTCTTCTATATTTACTTTTAAACATTCTTTAATTTTTTCATTTACCTTATACTCTTCTAATTCACATCACTGTCATTTCAGTTTCTTTGTTTCTTCACTATTTATACAATTTCTTTAATTTCTTGGCCTTTTACTACTCCATATATTTTACCTATCATTTCTATTCTTATTATTTTCCTTTATTTCTTCAATTTTTTACATGTATGTAGGTTCAATTCTTCAAACATCTTCATTGTTTCTTCCTTATCTTGTTTCCTATTTCCTTATTGCTTTCTTGAGTTTGATTTTCAATTATATTAGCCTGAAGATGGCCCAATAACGCCGAAATTAGTTGCTTAGTATTTATCAATAAATTGTGTGGCATTAATTTTAAATTTTAATATTTCCTAAAGAATACAGACTACATATTCTAGAAGTAATAACTTCACCATGACGTTGATGAATGCCATAAAAAAGAGATCTTATCGTTATTATACATCGACCCAGCTATCCCATTTTTATTCATTAATCCCAATATCCGCATCGTCTCGTTTTTCTTTTAGAAGAAATAAGTGAAATATATATGCCCACAAGATAGAATCTACTTCAATAACCTGATGGATTACCAATATTGTTTTATAACTCAAAATCCTCTTCCAGATAACATATTTATTATCATATGAAAAAATATATATGTATTTCGCGAATGTCATGAGCATAAAATACACAAAACGGGAGCAGGGAAATAAAGTAAAAGCTACATAGGTCGGAAAAGGAGAGCTTGGGCTTTGAATCGATAAGACTTCCCTACGGTATAGCTTACAGAAATACAAGGGTCGTATTATAATAGAACGGGGCTTGTTTGAATTCTAAATATATTGATGATGGCTTGTTTGGAAACCTAAAATTATTTGTTTCAATTGTCACTTGAATTATCATCCGTTTCATTCTTAATTTATTGTTTTTATTGTCCGAGCGGGTATAGAAATACAAAAAACAGTTTTTGATTAACTTATTAATACTTAAGTTGTATTAATAAAATTACTAATATAAATTTATAGTATTAATTACCATTATTTAATCTAATTTAAATAAAACTAGCAATTCTAGAAGGATCTGGTGACAGTTAAAAAGCAAAAGCGAGAGCATTTGAATTCGTCAATGTATAATATTAATCGGCTGTTTTGTTGTTGTGTAAAAAAAAATAGTGAATGTAAAATACTAAACGTTATATTGGTGTCAGAAGTCAGGATTCTTTAAGTAAATAGTGAGTAAATATGGTTAAAAAACCGTCAAATTTAAAAATTACTAAGTTGCGTCGAAAACTAGATAAACGTGAATTAAAAATAACAGGGAAGGAAGCAGAGTTGGCACAGGGGCTTAAAGAAGCGATAGAAACTGAAGATTTAGATCTAAAACGTAGCTTTTTTCGAAAACTAAGTCAAAACGCATCCGTAATACGGGAATCACCTAAAATTCTTATAATTTTGGTGATTTCGCTAAAATCCACTCTAATATTAGATGATTTCGCCGATTTTCCTATTTTATACAATCTCTGTGATATCGGAGAAATCGTTTAATAGTATTTCTAAATAAAGTTACCGAAGGGATAACTGACTAAAAGCCCTGTGAAGCTGGCCCCTCGGAATT